AAATTTAACAGAAAATATGAAAAATATAAATTGAAAGTTACATATATTTTCTGTTCACAAACATTCAAAGTCCAGAATAGTTCTGCACATTGGTTGAAAAATACTAGAACATTTGCAGAAAAAGGATATTAGGCTTCATGGAGAGGCATGGATCTCTGTGTCTGCAGAGAAACAGAAATCCTAGCAGTACTTTTTTTCTCTTCCCTACAACATAAACTCAACCCTTCTAGTATGCTTTCAAATATGGGTCTATCATTTATGGATGGACAATACATATATAATACAAAATAAGAGTAATTTAATATTTTATTATAAATTTAAATAAGGCAGAAACAATTTTGATTTCACCTATGGTATAATAAGAACATCTATTTATATAACATAGGTAACTATGATCTTGGCACTTTTGCTCTGAATACTTATTAGCAATTACTTTTTGAATTTTTAACCCCCTAAAGTCTTTGTAGAAACCCTTTTTTCCCCCACATATGCAAATCATTATTACAGCAAAGAAAGACCATGTTATGGAAGAAATTTATATAATACTAAATTAAAAGAAAATATAATAAAATGCATACCATAACTGTCTGAAATAAAGAATGCAATGCTCAAAATAAAATTTCTAAAATAACATAAAAAGTAGGACAAATATTTAAATTTATTAAAATATTTAGAAATAATTTAAAAAATACTTTTTCTTTGAACACATAAATTTGTACTTTAAAACAGGTATTACTTTTAAATCATAATTTTCACAATATTTTACAAAAGAAACTAAACAAGCAGCAATATTTTGGCATTGCAATTAATATTAAAATATAATATTCAACTGTAAGGGACAAATTCTGGAGATGGAAGTTATTGAAACTTCAATTAATACTTATTGTAAATTGCCCACGGCTCATAAACTCTAGAAATAGTAATTTTGAAAAATTATATGCATTACTTAAATTTGCTTTAAAACTCTTCCAAAGCACCACATATGTGTCAATATGCAAATAGATGCCCTACTAATATTAATGACAAATACTACATAGCAATGGCATTCATTTTTTTTTTGTGTGTGTGTGGTTATGGCAAAGCCTCGAGGGCTATCTGCCTAAGGGGAGGGATGCCTTCGTGGAGGACTTTCTAAGGGAAACTGGCTCGTATACACATTACACATAGGAAAAACCATGAAAACGCCCATGCAGCCAGCCCGTTCACGGGATTCGAACCTCGGACCGAACTACCAGTGTTCAGCGAATTTACCCGCTCGGCCGCTGGTGGGCTGCAATGGCATTCAAATTGTGGGTTGTGAAAATTAAAAAATTTATAGTGGGGTCGCAAAGAAAGTCACAAAAAAATTGAATTGATGGTATATATAACTAATGTTTGATACTTTAATTGGGGCTAGGATTTTTTTTTTTTTTTTGAGTCGCACTGGCATAAAATTTGAATACTACTACCCTATGTAAGTATTAATATTCGGTCTGTTTAAAGTTTCTCCAATTAAACTTTAATCATATAAGTAGAAATGACAACATTAGAACTACCAACAATTAACATAGATTCCCACAAAGGGAAAAAAAATATCATTTTGCAGATTGGTAGTTCTTAACCTTCCAGCACGCGCGTATGCGCAAAATTTACGACAAATTCAGTTTTTAATGCACATTTTTCGCATATTGAAGCTGAGACGTCTGAAGGTCATTCCTATTCCTCCTTTCTACCCTTCCCCACATCATGGAATGTGCCAACAGGAAGTCACTTGACTTTTTTTAACTGGGCTTTTGTGCCACGTGGTCGCTTTTTCATAAAAGTTACGATACGTGCGTGGTCGTGTTTTAAAATTCGGAAAATAATTTTTTTCTCAAATATTTTGTAAATTTGTGTTATTAATTGTTGTGTATTATTTTAATTTAAATACATTTGGCTCTGTAAATTTTATATCGGTTTTCATGGTAAAAAAATATGTGCAACCAGCTGATTTTGCTCGGATTCTTCAAGAATTATCTGATGAAGAAAAGGAAACCTTTGTATGGGAGAACAATAGCGATTTCCATTCCTTATTTTATTTTATTTCTATTTTTTAGTAATAAATAAAAACATTAAAGTTAGATTAAAGTGCATTTTTGTAACCAGTAAGAAGTAAATTTTCTTGCAGAAGTAAGTAATGCTAAACTTACTTTTTTCCTACCAAGGTGTTTTCCTTTTTTATTGTCTATACTTATCTTTGATGAATATTAAAATTAGCTTCGATTTTCTATAATGAAATGCATCATTGCATTTCCATCTCATTAAGATAAAAACTTAAAAATAATTTACTCATATTTGAATGTGATATCATTTGTATTTTGCAATAATAAGATAAATATTTATTTCTTAACAAATTTATTATCAATATTCACTCATTTGTTGTTTTTCGTGCCAAAAACGGTAAAATAACGGATGTCTGAAAAAATACTACGTGCGCATGCTCATGTGAAATTGCTAAGCTCGCTTGCTGGAAGGTTAATTTCCTTAAGGAATAATGGTTTACTTTAGATAGTTTACCTGCCACTTATTCATCCTATCAAAATAATCAATAATTTGAATAAAATTGCAATGAAAATGTTGTAAAACATTTTGATGGTTCATAGCCAATAAACTAAAACACTGGTACATTCCAAACTCTACAAAAAGTTCTGTTAAGAACACATATTATATACATTACATAAAATTACAAAAATTTTCAATGATTTTTAGTTGAGATTTTATGCTACTATTAAAACACATGAATTGATAAGAAAATCCCATTCATGGCTATGAAAATCTAAATCATCATCATATATATATATATATATATATATATACATAATAAAACATAACTAAACACAGAAAAAAGCTAAAAGGATGAATATTTTTAATATTAACATCTAGACCAGATCTGGAATCTAAACTTGGGAACTTTTACAAACTTCCAAGTCCAACTGCTTTTATTTAAAATACATTCACATATTTGTCATAACAGATGCATTACTATTATCATCTCAAAGTACAAAATTTTGCATAATAAAGAAAGCACAATTTTGCACTTTAGAAACTTTTCACTTATTTATTAAAAGTAACTAATAAACAATGTTATTTAAAATTACACATACCAAATACTCAACAGCAAAAAAATAAATATTTAATAACATATTATGACAGTATACCTTAATAATAAAAACTTAAGTATCTAATAATAAATCCTCATTGACAAAGTTCCTAATTTATGTAGCTAATTAAATTTTTAATCAGCAATGATTTTTCTCAGAGTAGTTATAAGGACGACATGAAGTTTTACAAGTGTGATAGATAATGCACAACCTTATCACACATAGTAAAAATATACCAAATAAACAAGATTACTTTTTAATTCATTGAAATTATATATTTTTGCATTAATAATTGATTTAAGATGGTACACTTTATGACAAAGTAGCACTTTCAATATGACAAATATGTGAATGTATGAAACTACTACTTTAGCCATTTTCATATTAATTAATTAATTAATCATTTACATGCATCAATAATTGTCTATGAATGTTCTCAAATCAGATTACTTTAAAGAAAGAGAGAGAGGGAATTGTTTACTTTGAGTTTCTAAATAATGTGTTTCACATAAAGAGACTTATTATTAATTGCAAATAGATTTTTTTAGATTCTTCCTTTTAAAACTTTTCATATGGAAATTAGAGAAATTGAAAAATATCAACTTGATTATTTGATAGTTACTAATGACATTTTAGGCATTATATTTATATAAATCTGTGGTGCCATGTTCCCAAACAAGGTAATGATGCTCATGTGTGTGTGGGTGAGTGGGTGGGTGATTTTTATAATATATTATACATTTTATCTAATTAGATGGAAATAAAATATAGAATACACAGCAAATTAATAACTTACCTACTCTAGTTATAAACTCAAGTTAAATTCTTTTTATCTTCTTTCATTATAAACTTACTGAAGTAAATGTGTTTAATAACATATTTATAATTAATAAACTTGCTGAAATAAATACATAACTTGAATATTTTACATAAAATTCGACTTCATTTGAAACTTAACAATATTTAGTGAAGGAACAATAACAAAGAAGGGAAGACATCAATTTGGAACAATTTTAGTTAAGTACAAAAGGGATTAATGCATGAAAAATGATTATAACTAAAATTTATACTTGAAGCAAAACAAATGCAAACATGCATGATAACCTTTGGTCAGTAACAAATACTGATAAAAAAAATTAAGAAAATTTAAAATTCAATTCCATAGAGCTGTATTTTACAGAAAATAATACCTAATTAGTACAGTCAAAATTCTTTAATCCGCACTTGTCGAACTTTGGCGATTCCGGGTTATCGTTTTTTCCGGATTATAGATCATTAGTTTAAATCTGGTAAGATGGCATGCGGAAATTATAAAATTAAAAATATGAAACCGTAATTTATGAAAAAGAACAATTATGATCTAAAGAGTATCAAAATTTACAAAAAAAAAAAAAAAAAAAAAAGCTTTATATTTATTTGTTTATTTTATTAAACATTTCTTTCAACGTGCCCATGCGTAAAGCATACATTAGGCATAGTCAAAATTAGAAAATTGCAACCAGAAAACTATTTCATGTATATTCGTAATATTTATAATGACGAGGAATTTGATTTAAATTATATCAAAGGCAGAGTACATCGAGATGAAATACTACATTTAGTAAAGAATTGTAAACCAAATAAAATAAAAACATCTGCCCTGAAGATAAGGATAGTGCTGACAGATCAACTTCCAGTTCATCGTGCGCCGCCGCGTCGTGTCCTCTCCCCCCCCCCCGTGCAGAGCAGCGTGAAATTGATAAACAGATTTCGGAATGGTTAGATAAACAAAGGATATGCCTTTATCCATTTTTTGCAGCACTTTTACTTTTTGTTTGATGGACATCGAAACATGCTTTCGCTTTGTAGTTCCTTTGGCAGCTCCAGAATCGGAAAATCTTTTTGATATAATCGAAAGTTTAAGCTTACTTTACAAAATTGCTCTAACAGTCTGCAAAAAACAATAAACCGGATCCAATTCGAGGATTAAGGAAGAACGCAATCTGCAATGTTAACTGAAATAGATAAGTGTAGCTTAGCTTATAGACGTCCGTTATATATTAAACGCGCATGCCTATACGCATATGCGCATGCGTAAAGTTATTATGTGCATGCCTTAACGCATTATGCATTGACTTAACATATGCGTTGACGCATGTGCAAAAAGTTTGCAGCTTTGAAGTCCGGATTATGGACATTCGGATTAGACTTTTGACTGTATACGTTAGTAGAAAATAAAGCTCACTTTCAAACTTTTAAAATTTTTAATATGCACTAAGACTCCAGAAATGCAAAACATTATATACACATAATTCTTAAAATATAAAAAGGAAATATATTAATTTTTTTAAATTCTATAAAATTTATATATACCCAATATAACATTATAGCTGCCAATCTTGAAATATGAAAAATTGTGAGGTTTTTGTGCTGCATGGCAACACCATTTAAAGAAATTCCTGATTTAAATTTACTTCATAATGTATAATTCAGGTAACTGAATATGATTCTGATGTAAAATATACTAATTCTACACATTCAAATTCTTTGGCTAATTTTATCTTGAATACTGAAAAAAATCCCAAGTAGGTAAGTAAAGCTGTTATTTTTCAATGTACCTGCATGATGAAATTAATAATTAATTTACATACTATTGTGTGGATATAAAATTAGTAATGAATCAATACTGATTGTAAAACAAAATTAAATACAAATATTAACAGATTAAACATTTTCTGAATCTTTATAAAATATTCTACAGATAGCTAGAGTAAATTAAGACAATTCAGATCCAATAAAATTTAATGAAAACTTAGTAGTCTCCCGATAAAACCTGAAGAGTTGGCAGCTATGTAACACTAATTACAGATTATAAAAATAATTCAGATAAAATTCTTATGGATTAAAATGTCCTGTGAAAAACAAAATTAGCTAACAATTTATTTAAGGAAAAATTACTTTTAACACTTAGAGCAAGCATTATAAATCTAAATTTAAAGTCAAACACGAGATTTTAATGGAAAATAACTAGACAAAATATTTCTTAAACTAACAATAGCTCAATAAATAGCATTACAAACACATAAATATACATATTAATTAAAATATAATTTCATTTAATTAAGGAAAATTCTGTTTCTCAGATACAAATTAGAAAAGATATGAATCCAATATTAATAATCACAAATGATACAATAAATAAAATTCAATTGTCAAATAAAAGTATGATGAAATACATCTAAAATTAAAGCACTGCCATAAAACTATTAAATATGTGTCACACTATACTTTTTTAAATCTTTACACACAAATAAGTAGAAACTAACAGTGACAAAATTAAAATTTAATATGATAGTTAATAGCAACCAGTAGAAAAAAAAATGCAATACATTACCATGCATGTTAGCCTGAACAGACAAATTTAATATTTAACCCAAAAAAAAAAAAAAAAAAAAAAAAAATTAAAGAAAATATACCAATATTGGTAACAACAGTTACTACATATAGCTGCCAATCACATTTCATATAAGAAATCATTACTTTTAATTTCAATGATGTAGAATTCATACATAAAATTTATTATAGAAATGCCACTATATAAGTGAATATAGAATTCACAGAAAACCCTTTTTCTTATCCTGCCCTTTGATTAAATTTAAAAAGCAGTTATAAATGGAGTTCTCAATTTTCTTTTGGAGTTCTATATATTTACACTTTTTCTATGCAAAACAAATTACAAATTTTCTCTCTTGCCAAATCGAAATAATCATAGCAATGCAACACTAAATGCAGTGACTATTCTTAACAGATAATAATAGTCAGATAATATTAATGTAGGTAAAACATTCAATAGAAAATTAAGCACAAAGTTAAAAAAAAAAAAGTGTGCTTGTATACTTTTTATGCTTGATTCAGAGATCAAATTGGAGACTAGAAAAATTTTGAAGCACAATTTTGGAAGATACAGAAATTTATAATATGTTTTCTGATGCACATTCCACCACAGTCTGATTATCTTCAATAGTCTTCATACATTCAACACTACCATTTTCCAAAAAGCACTGGTTTTGTGTCATATCAGAAAAAGTTTCACTCTGTTCTTTAACAACTGTTTCCTTATCATTGGCTTCAAGAATAAACTTTTCTTCTTCAGATATACATGCAGCTTCAATATTTCCTTCACTTTTACTCTCACTGCTTAACTCGATTTTCTCTTCAACTCTACGATTAACAAGAACAGACTTTTTGTTTTTCTCTTTGGTGATATCTTTGGATGTTTTAGAAGTTACACTTCTAGCAGAAATTTTAGATGCTGGAATTTTTGGCCCATCTTTCTTGCCTATATCACTTTTAACAGAAACAGCAGTACGTGTTTTGGCAACAACGGGTTTGCTGCCAACAGGTATGGTGGATTTGGAAGAATTAGCTGTAGGATCTGCTTTATTCTGACTTCGTATAGGTACACTTTTTCCAGCTAAAATCTGTTTATTCACATTATCTTTGGTTTCTTTAATATCAGGCTTCTTGAAGGCAGATGAAACAGTTTTCCTGACAGAAAATACAGGCTGTTTTGTTTTTGGTTCAGGAAGTGTTGATTTTGATGCAACCATTATCTTTGTTGTAACTGAGACTTTATTAGGAACAGAAGACGTCACAGAACGATTTGATGTAGAGCGAGTAGAAGTAAGATTTGATTTATTACTTTGAGTAGAAGGCAGCCCTTTAGGCACAGTAGAGGATGCAGCAGGCTTAAGATTTGATTTAGCTTCACTGCCAGAAAGTGCAGATTTTGGTTTAGAACTAACACCACTAGATAAGGCTGAGCTGCGAGTAGAAGTCAAATTGCTTGCAGGTTTGCTAAGTGAAATTTGATTTCTTTGGACTGTAGGCTTAGAGACTTTGAGGACAACATCTGATGATGCTTTAGCAGTAACGGGAGCCGTTTCTTTTCTAATTCTTGAAGCAGTTGAAGTTGTTCGACTTCCCTTATCTGCATTAATTTTTCCCGTAGTAGTTAAAGTTGATGATTTGACAAGTTTACTTCTATCCTTAGAATCGGGAAGGTTTTTTAGTGGTCTTTCTGGTACAAGTTTTTTAGTTTTATCTAATGGTATAACAGTTTTTGTTTTATTTTTTGGGTCTACAAGAGATTTTACCATATCTTTTTTCATTCGAGAGCTAGTATCAGACTTTTTATCAACAGATTTATTAACTTTAGATTCATGCACACTGATTTTAGATTTACAGCTGCTTTCTGCATTTCCCTTCATATAACTCCACCCACCATCTTTTTCGGAATCTGAATCAATATCCTCTGTAACACCTTCAGCCTCAGGAACACCAACTGGCACTGTTTGTAAATCAACAGCAAAGTTTTCAACTTGAGTATCTTCTACAGCTTGATCAGATGGTAATACAGCTTCTGTTGATCTTAATATTACCTCTTGCACAGTAATGAGTGAAACAGGTTCTTGATTTAAACTTTTTGATAAAAGTTCAGCTTCATTAGCTTCTGCTGTCTTTGCAACAGAATGATCTAAATTTTCTGCATTAGAATTTACACTTTCAGAGGTTATACTTTCATGCCCTTCAGAAATCTGGGTTTCACAAGCCTCTTTTTGCAAAACTTCATCCAACAGATCTGTTTCATCATTTTCTGCGTTAGAATTTACACTTTCAGAGGTTATACTTTCATGCCCTTCAGAAATCTGGGTTTCACAAGCCTCTTTTTGCAAAACTTCATCCAACAGATCTGTTTCACATTTTTCAGGATTCTGGAACAAGCATTCACTATTTGTTTCATTACAATCCACTTCATTTGCTTTACTATCAGCTAAATTTATCAATTTGCAGTTTTGTTCTGTATAGCATACAGTTATTTCTTGATTAGTTTCTTCAAAAGTAGGCTGAATTTTTTCTATTGGTGCTTCACTATGGGAATCATGAACAGATGAACTCTTCAATAACTTGTTCTGAATGGCTGTTACTTGTTCTGGAACATCTTTATGAATTGTAGTTATACAAGAACTGTCAACTTCTGCAACAAATAATTCATTATTTTGAATATTTTCAACACACACTGTGTGAGTTATTGATTTATCAGTAACTTCACTTTCTGATTTGTTTAAATCTTGTGAAATACATGCAGAGATTAAATGACTACTTTGAAATTCATTATTATCTATAAAAGATTTTGTCTCATCTTTTTCTTTCTTGAGGTTTGTAAGGCTTTGTTCTGATGGGACAGATGTTTCAGGGCTTATGTTTGAAAAACTGTCACTTATATTCGCAGGTACACAAGAATCCATATTTTGAGATGTTTCAGAGTTTTTCAGCAATTCATTATTTTCAGAAGGATTTTTTAAGTTGTCCAGTAAGAGATGTGTACTTTCAGATTCTAAATTATTATTAGTTACATTAGTTTTATCCTGAAACTCTGTTTCTTCCTTTTGAAAAGATTTCATCACAAAAGGTTCAGCATAAGGATTTAATTTTGAGCTGGTTAAAACAGGAGGGGAAGGAGGAGTAGGTAAATCATTTGATGACAAACACTTTACAGCAGTTTGAATAGCATCTGAAACAACGCAAGAAGCAATTCCTACAGCTTCATCAGGAGTTATATTGCCTTGTGTAGGTTCATTACTGCGAGACTCGAGAGTTTCATTCTTAAATAAATCTTCTCTAGAAGCTTCGTTCTCAGCTAAATCAATAAGCTGATTAGGTGAAGAGCCAGTATTTAAAGGAACAGAATGCAATTCCATTAATGCCGATTCATCCTCTTTTGGATTTTCACTGCAGATTCCAAATGGATCAGTACTTGATTGTGCTGCAGCAGTATTAAGGCCTTGGTACAAATCTACAGCACTAAACTTTTCAAATTGCTGCGATGCTAGGAAATCATCTATAGGTGGCGTAGGAAGCTCACTAAGGGCTGTAGCTTCAGGAGCAAAGCAAGAAGCTACATTTTGATTAGGTATAAAAATATTTTGTTCTGTGTCATCTGTAGCAAAATCTACATTTTCAAGAAATTTACCTTCTGTAGCATTTCCTTCATACTGATATGAATAAGACACATTTCCTATGCCTGCTGAACTTAAAATATTAGCTGTATTTTTTAACTTTTTTGATGACGCTGAGTTTAATTCCAGCACAGTTGGTTTCATAAAAGAGGCACCTGAGACATCTTCAACAAAACATTCTTTTTGTTCTCCATTCAAACAAAGATGTTCATACTTTGCTAAATTTATTTTATTTCCATCGGGCATAAAATTTACACAATCTTCTTTGATTTTTTCAATATCCCTCAGAAAGATAACAACAGCAGTAATGTTATCTTCAGAACCTTGCAGTTTTGATTTATGTACTAAATTAGCAGCAGTGGTATCTAGTGAGTCACCAGTAGTACTCGTGCATAGATCATTATACAAAGCAGATGCAACATCATCTGGTGATATTCCATCCCATAAGCCATCACATGCCAAAATCAAAAAATCTTCACTGCCATCCAGATTTAAAGCATACACATCTGGTTCATTACTGATGAAAGGTTTATGATCTGGATCACCTAGATCAAAATAGAAAATTAAATTATTATTAATTGCAAAAACATGAAGGTGTATTTAATTATGGCAAAGCACACTAGGGCTATCTGCCTAAGTGGAGGGATGCTTTCATGGAGGACTTTCTAAGGGAAACTGGCTCGTATACACGTTACACATGGGGAAAACCACAAAAACACCCATGCAGCCAGCCCGTTCGTGGGATTCAAACCTCGGACCAAACTACCAGTGTTCAGCGACTTTACCGCTCGGCCGCTGATGGGCCCAAAAACATGAAGGAGTAGGCAAACAGAAATATGGAAGAATCACTAAAAAACCTTAGTTTTAAAAATTTATTGTACACAGTTTCTTGTAAACTTACAGTAAGACTCAGTTTTGATAATAAATGCAAATAAAAACAGCACAAACATTCTTGATATAATACACATACATATATAATAATGTTTCATTAAAAATTAATTAGTAAACAACTTACTCTATAAATTTCTCTTTACAAAATTTACATTTTCATTCATTTTTTCACACAGAACTTATATTTTTACAATAATATATAACAATTAGCAGCTACATTTTTGCAATACCTAACACCGTTTGCAGCTTCATACTACTCAACTTTACATAGTCTCACAGCTCTCTGTTTTCACAGTTAGCAGCCACAAACTTCTCAATTTTGCATAGTGTTGCAACATTTTAAACTAGAATATTGGTGGTAACACGGTAAGTTAAATCGAAACTACTTGCCTTTTCATATTATTTTATATAATATTTCATTAATTATTCGAGCAATTTTTATGATGTTTAGAATTAGTTTATTTTAGTTTGCATGCATAATTCATGTCAGAGAAGTAGTTATATAGGTTATGGATTCTAGATTAATTTGGCTATGTACTTTAATTTGTAATTTTTCTCCTATAGTAGATTTGTTTTTAAATTTCTCAAAAATTCCTTAAATATTAAATTTCTTATTTTAACATATCACTACTTTCGTTTTTTTATATTTTTTAACCCGTACCTATATAGATCACAAAACATGAATTGGGTAATTGAAGAGTTAGGTTTGGGGGCAACTTCCCCTTGAAAAGATCTGTCTTCTGCCTGCTCAATAATTATTCAATTTATCCAAATTAAAATTTATTTTTAAAAAATTTAGAAGTTTTTAAGATAAAAAATTTTAGGATTGTATTATTTTCCCCTTGGATTTACATGCTTGCACTTTATTAACTTATGGTTTCTGAATTTAATGATATTGCAAATTAGTTTCACAGCAATAATTAATCAATTTATTTTGCTTGCAATTGAATTTGCATAATTTAAAATTTTAGTTTGCTTTACATGAATGAAATTATAATATTGTATTTATTAAATTCATATACACACACATAGAGTCAAACCTCCCATTAGCATGCATGTGTGTACACACACAAGACCATTTCTCTTTTACCATGGAATGTCTGCTAAAGAGTAACGGTACTTTAGGGTACATAATTTAGATACTATCTTATTATTGGAATATGTCTGCTGACATATATTTATAGTTTATACACTCAAACTTACAAGCATTTAATATTAAAATATGTTGATATAGATTTCATGTGCTTCAAATATATATATTGCAAACTGGAATTTATTTTCAAATGCAAATCATCCCAAAGCAGTTTAATCAGATTTTCTCTATACTACATTCAAATTTATTTTAATAAACTTTTATTTTGCACTTGGTCCCTAAATAAAACTCATCTAAATCAAACAGTGTGTGATTCTCTTTCGAACTGTTTTGTGCAAAAAGAGTGCAAAAAGAGGGGGGGGGGTAAGACAGGGTGAAAGTAAGTTGCTTCATGCCAAAAATAAACTGCTTTTAACAAAGCAGTATAAGACTTTCATAATGAAGATAAACTGAGATTCTGAAGTTTTTTCTGCTAACCACCAGTTCCCTTATTTTGTTGTAAAATACAATCCTATAGATTCATACAAAAATACATATTTTTTGCATAATATTATCAGTACAAATAAAATCCGGAAAAACTGACACTTCATTTAGTTTCAGGCAATATATTTTTGGGAGAACATTCACATAATGCTAAATACAATGATTAATACACTCAATTAATTATATTAAAGATTGACGCTTTTTAATTGACATGTTTACATAATGAGATAAATGATCATTTTGCATTATTCATTTATAGCTGAAATATATCATAATCTTGGCTGGGTAATTTTACAACTTTTCCACCTAAACTATGCTAATTTCAGTTTATGACATTTAATGTATTATTTGATGACTGAATGATATAAATTACTTATTGCATTTTCATACTCATGCAGCAAATTCTCTCATTGGATGTAGAACACTGAATTTCTCTGGGTGACCTGTTGATCAGAACAAACCTGAAAGCCTGATGTAGGCATGGTTGGCAAGTTTTGAAACTTAGTTGTGCTTCGGCTGTCTGACGCAGTTAAGTGTTGTAGGTTCATGTAGGGTTTTTGGGACTGTAACTCAGTTAATATATTTTAAGGTTCCAATAAGCCACTAATTACAGAGGTGATAAGTTGTTTTTGTATATTATTTTAAGTCTCACTAGATGCAAAGAATAAGTTTTACAATTTTGTGCTGTATCTTGTGGCCACAGTAATGATTAGTGAAAGGCAATAACTTGCTTTAATATGCAGATATAACTTTTAAAGGTGAGCAGTTAGTTATAAATAATTAAATTAGGTAGTTAAATACCCTTAGTCATTATAGATTTACATGACCACTATTAATTTTACTTATTTTTTTAAAACATTTGTTAAAAAATCACTATAGATTTACATGACCCCTATTAAATTTTACTTATTTTTTTAAAACATTTGTTAAAAAATCACAATCTAATAACTTTTGAGTGTTTATAATACATGTAATTTATGACATTGATTCTTAAACGGTATTAGGATAATTACACATAAAAAGTTACAAAACAAAATATTATGCAAGATAGAATAATGCATCTTTTTAGATTGAAGTCTTCCCAAATATTTTGGTTAATTTATATCAATTTTCTTCTCTTTAAACATCTTTTCTAACAATTAGAAACCTATTTCAATACACAAACTAATGTTTTCATTAGCTTCTGCATGCTTTACCTCCTAACTTGTCAGTCTCTCAACAGTGTACTTAATGAAGCTTTTCTTGATCTTTCATTTTCTTTCTTAAATATGTTTACTCCTCACTTTAGAATTTTTGGAATTAATTAAAGATTTCTGTTATTCTAAACAAACTAAATGCATTTTGAACACACAGAAAAAACTGCTAATTTTATTTCTTTAGTAATTTGAACTTTCAAAATAAATATAAAATGATATACGATAAGGGCCGAAATTTTGTGGCAGAATTTTTAAAATTTAGTGACACACCAAGCAACAAAATCTAGTATTGGCAAAACTTTTAGAATTTAGGAAGGCACTATGCAGCAGAATTTAGGACCCACAGGAGATTGTATCAGGTAGGAAAATGCCTAGTGCCAGCCCTATATATAATGCACTGAGACATAGAAGATGCATCTTTTAAATTGTCAGTTTTCAATTTATTTGTAAACAAAAAAAAATTCCTTTTGTTAAATGCCTATAAGATTAGAAGAATTTTTGATATTTTCCATGCTTGTATCTAGTGAAAAGTAGAGAAAATAAACAGAGGCTAAACATATTAAAAAAGACTTCTAGTATCAGAAGTAAAACATTCAAATGTTATATTTTCATTGTTCTTCCAAAAATTCTCCACAAGTAAGAAACTCATCACAAACTTTCTGTAAAATACCTAAGGTAAAACCGAATGGAATGATGCCTGGTCAGTGGAAAAAACAACAAGCAGCCACCACGATACGGTAGCGGCTGAAAGACGAAACGCCATTAATTATTCTTAATCAGGAAAGTTACAGAAAAACAGTTTACTAAATTGTAAAGACATCTACCATAAATTGCTACACACGATACATAAGATTGTGCTCCATGCAAAATTAGGTTACAGTAATCTTGAATGGACTGCCACGTAATGCAAAATATATACATAAAAATGGTGCCAATTTCTTTATGCGTTAGAAAAACATAAATGAGAACACATACACATATATATTTTATAATTATTAAAGTCCAAGAAGTGATAATAGATGCATTTCTATACGTGATGTGTTACATCTCATATTAGAATATTGTAATATACTGATGATCATGAATCAAGTATACATACTGCTGGTAATTGCAGTATGTGCCATCACAGAAGCATATAATTAGTACTTGAATACATTTCTTATACTGTTAGAATTTCATACTGTGCCAACATAATATTTTAGACCTGATATAATTGGAATCATATAATGCAGAGATTAAATATGACATGACAATAAGCAAAATGCCAATATATGATATAACAGTAACATAATATAGTGCATTTAGTGAAAAGATACATGAATACATCATTAGTTAATGATATTGCATAGTATAATACCTTAATATTATGAAATACAGCAATGATAAAGTAATACTATACATTAAATATAACTAAACGCCATATATTTTTTAAAAGGTGCATTAATGCAGTACTGCAAGTGACACATTACATTTTATGTTTTACATAATTACTGTAGTAATGCAAGGCATTTTATAATACATGAATAGTTATTTAAGAACGATGTTAATAGGTGATATATTAGTGAAACAAAAATACAGTAATACAATGTGTTAGGCGATTACATTAGGTGTTTTGAACAGTACCCTACTAACTCTACATGTACGTTAAAACTCACAAATCAAATTTCCTTCATGTGAATAATCACAAAAGAGAAAACTTATTTCTTATAAAACCCAATTAGTAATGTTATGCAAAACATTACATGAAATGATTCAGTGATACAATAATACTATATGTAAAATGGCAGATATAATAATAATTGAAATATATACTTGACACAGGAATTCAACAACAACGTGGGACCACCTTGGACGGTGATACATGAAGCAAAACGTCTAGCTA